CTGAATCTTCAACCAAACAAAATTGAGATTTGAATTTATGGACTAAGTACCTGTAACTCGGCTTTTTTGTGCCCCTTTTCGGAAGGTCGAAATAAGCCTTACAGTTCGGACTCCCGCGGTTTTGAATCTAATTTCACAAGTGCAATGTGAAATTGATAAACACCAAAGAGTCAACATCCGACAAATCTTTTGAAAAATCGATTTTGAATAAAAAAAATATCAAAATTGGACTGCTTTGCCAGATATAGAGTCGCCAGCTAAATATTTTATTTTGGGAGAATTTAGAAAACCCATGACTCGTGCCAAAGGTCACATGTCCGTCATCACCAAAATTGTCTCTGCTTGGAAACTTAGGTACGAGAAGGGAAGGTCATGAATACATTTTGAGCACCCCCGCTCATCCGATCAAAGATCGGCCTCTACTAATCATGATATGAATCTTTTGTACATTATATGCTCTTGTTTCGATTTATTAGGCTAGCATTTACTATGTGATACGCACACACACAAGTATAAACTAACTCGCAAGAATTGGAACACTTGAGTCATGTTCGTTTTGAAAATTGTTTTGAAATATGTACCACTTGAAAAAGTGATCGCATATAAACATTTTGTTCCAATTCAAGCAAATAGCCTTCATCTACAGGCATTCAAACAATTTATAGCAATTAAGCACTTAGCCTCATGGCAAGCATGCTAGACATGGCAACATCAACTTTTCATGCAAGATGCTAAAGCAAGTAAAGGCTCACATAGTACTCCAAACTAAAATAAACAAAAGAGTTAGAAAAATGCATGATCCTAACTTATGCAATATGACTAATGAAACACATGCAAAAATGCAACTAATAGGCTCGACTACTAATATAGCATATGAAGCAATTTGATAGCATGCAGTCTAAGCACCTATTCAAAGAAGTATTTAAACTAACAATGCAGTTAGAATGATGAACCGAGCCTCGTTGCATACAATACAAATGGATGCAAATATGGAGAATGCTAATTGAAACATGATATCCCTAAACTAACCATCATAAGTTAGTAAATAAAAGGGAGAAAGACGTGGAGTTGGAAGACATACACACTATTACAACATTGCGCTCTCACGAAGGAGAGTCTGAATAAACTAAGCTAACTAGCTAATTAATTAAAGCTAATGAACTAACTATTACAAACAAATGGAATAAACTAGCTAAGCTACTTAACTAATTATTACAACAACAAATGAACTAATTAATTAACTAATCTAACTAATTAAAATAATTACATCATAACTAGTTAACTACTTAACTAATCATTACAACACAAGTGCAAGTAAAATAAGTGATTAAACTAAACGACTAGCTACTCTGTCTCGGGAAACGAGGGATGTTCATGCGCATGCCTGATTTTCACCCGAAAAGCCACTGTTTTGTTTCTAAATGCCTCTATTTGCATAGTTGAACACCAACACTGCTGCTCACTCTGCTCTGCCTTACAAACTCACTGCTAAATTTTGCACCAGTGGTTGGCCGGCCACTGGTAAGGATTGCCGGCCACAAGCCGGCCATAGATGGTGGTCTGCTGGCCACCTGTCGGCCACTGATGCACAGGTTCATCTTACTGCAATAGAGAACAAACAGAGCATATACAGGGTATTTCCAGGGCTTGTTTGCACAACTTACCCTTCCTTTTCATGATCAAATCAAAGAAGAAGTGAACTTAAGCCAGAAACTACCAACTCAAACAATTTCATTGCATGATGGCTTGTGACTCAAGAGGTGCAAGTTCAATAAATGCAAAACAAGACACAAACCTCCTCCTTTTCATGAATGATCAAGGGAAGAAGTTAACCTTGGAAACTTGGCACATTTCATCACTTTGAGTATGAAATGCCCCAATTTTTCTTGTGTTCAATTAATGTCCGATTGAACACACCGAAACACAATCAAATTCTTATCTTTGCACAAATTTAGTTTCAACTTTTAGTTACTCATTTTAATTACCATTCCATTCTTTAATCAATTAAGTCCATTGGTCTCTAAAAGAGAAGGGAGTGCTATACAACTGGTAGTTTAAGGCAAGAGAGAGATGTCATGTCGTCGATAATGAACCCCCAAAAAAGGATTAAACTATTAAGCATGGACCTCAATCTCGAGCTTAAACAATCCTAAGATTGACACAACCCTCAAAAAAAATAAAAAAACTAAGAAATGAGGGAGGTTGCAGAGATTAAACTTGCTGAAATTAAGTGAGAGAATCACTAAAACATGTAATCAATTCAAACAAGTGGTGTGTAAAGGCCTAAAACACCAAACTTGTGAGTAGGGATAGCAATTTAAACTCAGCCCGACCGAGACCCGACTCCCCAACCCCGATTTGAGTGGTTTTTTCCCGAAAAATATCCCCACGGGGACGGGGATGGTATTTAAAAATCAATCCCCGATCAATTTCGGGCCGGGGATGGGGATAAATGTCCCAGCCCCGTGCCCGTCCCCGTCCCCGTTTGTCCCCGAAGTAAATTTACTATTTTACCCCTATATATATATGTAACCAATTACCAAACCTCATCTCAGTTCACTTTCTCTCTTCCTCTCTGATCTGTCTCTCTCTCTCTCTCTTCCCTCTACTCTCTCTCACTCTCGCAGCTCTCCTCCTTCTCCTCACTGCCACCGCCGCCACTCTCTGCGATACCGATCATCCTCCTCCGTCGTTCATCGCCTCCGTCGTCGCAGTCACAGCCTCCGTCCATCACCTCAGCGCCTCCGTCATCCTCCTTCGTCGTTGTCGCAGTCGTCCATGCCTCCGTCGTCATCTACCGCTTCCGTCATCCTCCACCACCTCCGTTGTCTTCCTCTGTACTGTTTGTGTATGTATTTATATGTATGTTTTGTCCATTTTTTCAGTCCTCTTCTTAGATCTATACTGTTGTGTATGTATATATACATGTATGTATATGTTGTGTTCTGTCCATCACCGCCTCCGTCGTTCTCCTCTGTACTGTTTGTGTATGTATTTATATGTATGTTTTGTCCATTTTTTCAGTCCTCTTCTCAGATCTATACTGTTGGGTATGTATGTATACATGTATGCGTGTGTTGTGTTTTGTCTAATTTTTTTTTTTTTTTGATGGTGTTGATGAAATAGATTTGGTCCGGGGAATTTTTGGGGTCGGGAAAACCCGATCCCCGTTAGGGGGCGAGGGCGGGGACGGGGACGGGGAGTGTGGTCCCCGGCCCCGGCCCAGGCCCCGGCCCCGGCCCCGGCCCCGGCCCCGGCCCGCGGCCCGGCCCGTTGCCATTTCTACTTGTAAGGACACTTACACTAGAAGCATGCAAAACAAGACTCAAATGACTTAAACAGCCCAAAACAGAGACAAAACAGTCTAAAATACAGCCTAAAACATGCTGGAATTAAGTTACAAAAGGCTAGAAAAATATGTTAACACATAGAACTATCTTGGCTAGCAAACAAAACACAAGGAGGGGAGGCTAATCCCTCCAAATTTAGACTTCAAAACATAATTTTCACCACTAAAAATAATCTGAAATTCAGTATTTAAAAGCCCAAAAAAGATGGTTTGAAAGTGGGAAATAAAGGTGGAAAGGCCTTACAAACAAGAAAGAAAGAAGGGTGGACCACCCCCTAACTTTAAATGGCCTAAAACCACCAATTTCAACTCATAAAAATAGAGTTTTTATAGCCCAAAAATAGCTCAAATCAGTGGGAAAAGATAAGAAAAATAAGTATGCAAAGCCAGTTAAAAAGGCAAATGTTATACCTCTTGAAGGGAAGACCAACTCTAGGCAGCAATCTAAGCCAAAACCACCTTCTAGAGCTCTAAGAAGGCCTCAAGGAATCTCAACTCAAAGATGAACCACTTTGGTTAAGGAAGTGTAGGCAAAAGTTGAAGAATTGTAGGCTAAAAGTGTAGAGATTTTGTAGAGAGAGAAAGAGAGAGAGGAAAATTTTTGAAGCTCAAAATTTTCTTACATTTAAAACAATATGAGAGGTCTTCTATATATAGAGAACCAAGCAACTCCCTCAAAACATCCAGCTGTACATGTGGGTGAAGATGCATGTATCTGTGCAAACAGCTGGCACAGCAGACATAAAATATCTGCAAAACAGCTAGTGGCCGGCCGGCCATCACTAGTGGCTAGCAAGCCACATCAATGGCCGGCAGCCCAAAAGTGATGGCCGACAGCCCAAAAGTGGTGGCCGACAGGCCACTAGAGGTTGCAGGCTGGAAAGCCAGGCTTGGTCCAAAGCTGGGACAACAAAGGTACAGGGTTTGAAAGGCTCAAAGTTGTGACATTCTACTAAGGACTTCGAGTACTTGGTGAGCAAATACGTTCATCATCGGGTGTGCATGCGAAGATGTCCAAATCGTAAGGGTCATAAAAAATAGAGTGTCTACAGTACCCATAATTAATTATGTTGTGAAGATCTTAATTAAAGATCACTATGCCATCAGGTCAACCTATCCAAAACTGGATCACTAATGCTTAAAAAATAAAAATAAAATACAAAATGGATCACAAAAAATGTAATAATATTGTTCTGGATATGAACTTCTCAATAATTAGATTTCCCAAAGTCCACTAACACAGATTTTAAATCAAAAAATGATTTAAACGGTTAACATGTTTTATGTATATTTAAAATTATTATTGTGGATAAATCTTGATCTTTGATTGATAATAGATTTAATCCCAGTCTTCTATTATATTTTGTGTGAATTGTTTTGAGATCCATTCTGTACTGAAATTGGATAAGGCTTACTTTTTTCAATTTTTTTATTGTTTATTTTTGAGGAAAAGGCTTACTTCGCTTGTGGTTTAGCTTTCACACACGTCACCACATTTGTGGGCTATATTCTTTGCAGGGTTACCAAGGCACCACTCATCTCCAAGTATTGTTATGGAACAAAACAAGCTAGTTAATTTATATCCCATTTAGACTTAAAAACTAATTTTTGAAATTATTGTATAGTTCACCTGATGGTGTGGAAATTGAAATTTAGACCTCAAAACAATTATTGAATGCTCACAAGCCTTCAATTCAAAGCAAACCAGTACATGATAAAGATACAGAGCCAAAAAATAGAAAACACTTTATACACTGACAAATAGAATAAACATGCAACCAAACATAACCACAAAAGAACCCATTAACGACACTACGAACAACCTCACTCGCAAAAAGCAATCACCATGAATGATCATGATTTAGTTTGATGAGATGAAAAACTATAGAAGATCAAGTGGAAAAGGATTAGATTCAGGCTTTTCCTTCAACCCTTGCATGTGTAAGCCCAACACAGGCATCGACAAAATCCTCATCAATAAAATCTGTGGAAAAGACCTGCAGCCGATCCGCGCAACCCCGGGAAAAGCATTGAGTAATGAAAAGCCGAGCATATCCGTGAATCCGCCCTGTCACTGGTTTAACACATAGCACCGGATTATCTGCCTGAGGTGTTACTGTGTTCTCCACTCGGTAAAAGAATTTCCTGGACATCACCGGCGATTGATCACTCAAATGCTTTAAATTGCTCTCAAACTTTGTTGATGGCAAATCCGTGTCAACCCAATTATCCTTCAAATACCCAGCACTCCATAACGGCCCTCCTGCCTTGGGCTGAGGCGATTTTCTCGGCTTCCAAACACAGATAATTCTTTTTGGCAATAGTTCTGCAATCGTCTTCTCAAAGACCTGATCATCTTGGTGAATCAGAAACTCACCAAGTTGATCCTCCAAGTAACTGTCAAAATCCGGAGGATCCTCGTGCCCAAACTCTGTCCGGATCTCCAGAATTATAATCTCCGATTGGGTTTCGGATAAAAACCTCTTGATATCGTTGATGACAACATCAACACTGTAGGTAATGAGGATTCCATGGCAAACATGGCGATCCTCCTCAACACGGATATCGAGAAGGCGGGTCCCTCTTTCGAGCTGATGGTAAATGGAGAGAGATTGGCATTGGGCAAAAGGCCGAGTAATGCAGGGGATTCCAATTTTGTTGGTGCCAGAGTCGTGGGTCCCCGGCCATACAATCTTGTTCAGGTGAACCTTCTCTGGGTTGAGGCCAGCCATCCAATTTTTCCGGTCAGGAGGACGGTAATCGCAACCGGGAAATTCGTGGCCGCAACTTTCCCGGAGACTGCATAAAGTTTTCTTCTCCGTTGACACCACGTTCCGTCGTTCCCACTGTTTTGAGACCTGCCCACCCATTATGAGAATCAGTCAATCAAAGAAGACGAAGATGAAGACGAGGGAGAATTACGTTGAAGAAGAAGAAGAATGCCAGAATTCTTCCTCTTCTTCTGGCTTCTGTCTCCTCCTCCTCCTATTATAATGTTTATGGAGTAAGTTGTGATAAAGAGGTGTTGTGCTTGTGGGTTTTAATATATGCATTTTAACATTTGGGGGTTTCCCTGTGAGGTGAGACATCTCTAATTATGATTCTAATTTTCTCTCAATTCTTCATTTGTTTTTTCTTCCCAAATATCTATAATACATTGTAATGAGACTTCCTCTTTTGTCTTTGTTTTTGGTGGGCCGGCACGATTGAATTATTGATGGAGAGTTATAATCGATACAACTCCTTGATTGGTCCACCTGTTTTTGTTGATGTTGATTTTTTATATAATGCCCTCTTGTCTTCTTTGTACCTAAAAAGTAATTTTTTAAAGTCACCTAAAAAAAAGGATTTACACAGAGATGTTGCACACATCATTATTGGCCTTTCAATGGTGGTGGTTGAACCAACAAACCTGGTGTCAACGACTCAATGGTCCCTAAATTTAAGGATATTCCATTAATCACAACCTTAACACTAATGAAATCTAGCATATGATATGTATCAAATATCTTAGATGTGGAGGAAAAATAAGATGGGATCCACATGGGCTGAGTCGGCTAAGCTGGCAGTGCCTGATTGAGTGTGGCCCATCAGAGCCACATAGCATGGTATGATTGGCCATCACTTCGGCAATCTCAAAGTCTCAAGGAAGATGGATCCAACAACCCAAAATTGAAGGATCTTGGTAAAGAGACTATATTATTCTCTCTAAGATATTTTGCTCTACTTATTTTGCCTTGTTTTGCACTAATTTGACGAGAATCATCATCAACCCACCAAGTACATAAATTTTCACATGCAAGATGTATATTGATTCAAGATAATTTGTTCCCACACTGATAGAGTGTAAAAAATATATACTATTTGATTGGTCTAAAATTGTGAGTTTCATATTCAAAAAGTGTATTAACCCCATCTAAACTTGTTGTGCGTTCCACAATTTTGAACTAATCAAAATCATGTTTTGTTTACACATCTTGTCAGATGTCGGACTCTTGATTCAACCCTAGTTATCATCTAACAATATATAAGGAGATTCTTATAAATGTGACACCATACCGACAATTCCAACAAGTGCATGGAACTTTGCAATGCATGGATATTCCACTAATAACGAAATTCAACATATATTTATATACCAAATATTTTAGATGTAGAGGAAAAATAAGATAAGACCCGCATGGGCCCCGAGTCGGCAATGCTTGATTGAGTGTGGCCCAACAGAGCCATATAGCATGGTATGATTGTCCAACACTCCAGAGGTTAATGAAGATGGATCCAACAATCTACCTAGAAAGGATGAGATCTTATCACTATTCTCTCTCTAAGATATGTTGCTATTTATTTTGCCTAGAAAAATTCACATACAAGATGTATATTGATTCAACCCTAGTTATCATCTAACATGTCTAAGTAGATGTATATTGATTTTTTTTATTTTTTTATTTTTGATAAATAAGTAGATGTATATTGATTTGACCCTAGTTATCATCTAACAGCACATAAGTATACTCCTACAAATGTAATATACATACCGGCAATTCCCATAAGTGCATAGAACTTTGCAATTAATGGAGACAGCTCAGAAAAGGGTCTATCATCACCAAGTTGTCCCTCGCCTGGAAAGTGATCAAAAAGTTGGACGAAACTATTTTAAAAAGATGTTTTCAAACAGATCAAAGGGTTATCAGAAAGAAGAAATCACAGACCTGAAGGAGATAAAAACCCATGTATTAAGAACCAGGTAGAAAGGAGACCATTAAGGGCCCTACACCGTGAAGGATCAAGAGGGTCTTGATGATTATAGGTTGCATTTACATTGGCATACCCGTAACATACCTGTATCTGTATCCGTACCTGTGCTTTCTAGGCTGTAGGCAACAGAGAAACTGGTTTGACTACACTACCGACCATATTTATATAAGACTTGATATGTATGGACTGCCCATTGAGGCATATAACAATCAGACGAAGCAGGAAATTTCCTGCACAAAAGCTAATATATATGTAATGTACATATATATTAAAAGAACATCTTATAAACTTTATCAGCCAATAAACAGCAGGTTTAAGTCTCTTGGGCTTGAGAACTAAGTTCAAGTCATCCTAAATGTCTGGAAACCGTCTTGACTAACTAAACCCCAACTGTGAACTATACATTCATCGAGACAGATAAATTTAAATAAGTTATATACATTTGAAATTAGATAAATCAGCATGTCCAATTGGGCCATAAAGGCGTGCAAGTATTACTGGAATCAAATAGCACTGGACAGTTGAATAGAAAGGGTAACTGATTCAGTAAATATATATTACATGCAGATTCCACATTCGTATTGAATGAAAAGCCTTTCGTGTAGCACACTTGAATTGCCCACACACCCACATATAACCACAATACCCATAAAAAAGAGAACAATCAAGGAAGAAGAATTTTTTTAATACTGCAACAATGCCCGGATCCTGGATCCAGGATCCAGAATCCCACCAAGAACTAGTATTCCACCACCACTGCCCTCTCCTTTCAAGCAATGTTTTGGGAGTAATCCCCCGGGATGACAACTGTGATATGACTGACTGATCATGTTGACCAAATCCAAATATCCCATCAATTGCTCTATGTCTTAAGTCCCAGACTGATAGGTGCTACACCTGTTCATAAATTCCAACACAGCCATTCAACTGTTCAAATCCAGCCAACAAAACTAAAAATGAACACTGATATAGCATATCATTTCCCTGAAGAGAAGGATGAAAGCTTTAGGTGTATATTCTGCTAAGACCATTACTTTCCTAATCTTCCTTTAGTTAACCTTTATCTTTCCTTTTCCAGTTACCATTACTAATCTTAATCCTTATTTAGTTTATAATCCTCATCCTCTTTCCACAGTACCATAACAATGTAGAATATCATAAGAGAATGAACACCACTGTTTATTTTATTTATTTATTTATTTGTGTAGAAAACAGTAGGGGCCATGGCACCCGAATTTTAAAAATAAAAATTATATATGTATAGTTTTTTTAAAAACAAAGAGACCTTTAAAATGCTCCCCCTTTTAGTGTTTTACTTCATCAAAGATCCAAAGATCTTGGTTTAAAAAGTAAGGCTCCAAGTCAATTACACTAGTTAATTTTAAAATATATATACACACTAGTTTAAAAAACATATGTACAGCTGCCAAATCACTTTATCAATACAAAGATAGCAATTGAAAAAAAGAAAAAAAAAAAAACTGAATCAATTGTCATCTTTACTTTTACCAATACCTTCACTTTATAGTATTTCCATCACAATTTTGTTCAGCATAGGCATCAATTCTCAAAACAAATTGTCAAAACCATATCATCATCAAAAGATTGAACCCATATTGTTGAGATATTTTTTCTATGCTATTTTTGTAACTTTATGTCTATGTCATATAAAATTGTAGAAAGATTTGCTGATAACAATTCAAAATTAAAAAAGATAAAATCCTATCTAAAATCAGATATGTGACAAGAAATATTAAATGTGTTAGTCATTTTATCAAGAGTAAATAATATATTAACAAAACTTGAATATAAGATTTAATTGTTAGTTACTTGCATCTCAAAAAGAGAGAAAAATAAATTTTAAATTAAAAAATTACTATAATATTGAAAATTGTAAAAGTCTCATTTAAAATTGTTACTTTATGCCTCATACTATCTCAAGCCAAGCTGAGCCTAGTTGGTGAAAATCTCTTTCTCCAAATTAGGCCCCACTCAAGTCAAAATTCTGGTTCTGTCCCTGGCTGTAATTATGCTATTTATCACGGCCGTGTATTAGTCATTGTTTGGAAGGGGAACAAAAAATAATTCTCATCTGATAATCACTTTCAGCCCCAAATTGACACAGCATCTTTGAGAGGCATAGCAGCTTACCCGAAAACAATTGGAGCCGAAGAGTTGGCGAACAAAAGGCACCTCCAATTGTGTTAAATCAGACTTCCCACTTCAGCGGCAGCAGTTTGAACTATAGAGGCACAATATTGGGTCTGAACAAGAAACCAGAGAAGCAGTTGTTGAGCTGGCAGCATCAAAGAAATTGAACTCAATCTGCATAAACAAATTAGTATCAGTAAATGACATATTCTAGAATATCTAGTCAGTCTAACAACTCAATAGATCAAAGAATAACATATATAGCAATATAAATACTTACACCATGTCCACTTGATTGGGGGCAGTCATTGCAGGAATTGTAAGTAACCCACAAGATGTCACTTCCAGTATTGATCTGCACACTGAATTCCTTTGGTGGAGAGTCCAATTTAACTCTTGTAAAGCCAATAGTAAAACCACAAAACCCAAAAATGAATAATATAGTCAACAGCATACATTTATATTACACAACAAGATACCCATGGTTCCGCACAACAGAAGCTTGTTATAGGGGGGAAAACAAAAACAAAAACAAAATCCAGACAAGGTAGATAAACAAAAATAGAGGAGTTGAAGAATATAGTCAACTAACTCAATGCCCTGTATTTAATATGATACCAGTCAGGTTTTACCCACTAATGTTTGCATCAGAAAAAATAAACAAATAAATAAAGAATGATGACAAAAAAAAAGAAACATGACCACAGAAATTCATCAAAATCAAGGACCAAAGATCACAAATGACAAATCAGGAACAAAGAACAGCATAGACCCAAATCTTTCACAACAACTTAAATTTGAAATAATTAAAGAACATGACTTTGACAAATGATGCAATCAATTAGTTTTAGTATGCATGCATGCAATTATAGCAGTATGTATACAAGTATAGAAGAAGAAGAATGGAACAAAGACCCATAATTTACAATGATTGGACAAACTATGAACTGCTAAAAATTCTACAGTGCCAGAGAGAGAGAGAGAGAGGAGGCATTATGAATCTTGATAACACTACCCGACTAGGAATGGATCAGGGTACCGAGGACTGAGAAATCAACGATGACACCGAAGACACCATACAAGATTTGGGCATGCCTTGCTCAGCCCTGAGCCCTGAGCACACCTCCAGCTTGACCCTCTGGCTCGCTGAAAAAAGCCCTCCACTACAGTACACTGTACACCACCAACAGAGAGACAGAGCATTTATTTTTTTATTTTTTTTGTTTTATCGGCAAGAGAGAAAGCATTACACCACTATTTTAACAAAAGCCTCACCACTGGCCATTTAATTCTTTGTACTTTCAAATAACATCTGATTATGGACAGCCTGGCATAAAATCTGCGAGATACAAGAGCCTCAAAATTATTTACAAGTATAAAGCAATGTTAAAAAAATGCAAACGCTGAGTCTCAGAAAAAGCTAAGACAGATTACTAACCACTGGGGAATTATAGTGAAGCAATAATAGTGTTTGCAGTAAAAATTTTAAACATAATCTGTGATGATACCTCTTCTCCTTCCATCTTTTTCCTGATTTTTTTAAGGTGTCATTTAAAAAGACTTGCAGAGCTTCTTAAAATTTGAGAAGACAGTGAGTGAATTTTATATATCAAAAGATTGGAAAGATCTACATCAACAGAGGAGGGAAGACCCCCCTTAACTCAGAAAATACCAGCCCCTAGCTGCAAAAACAAAAGGCTATATCTGAAACAAGGGGAATCTGCAGAACTAAACAAACAAAACCATCATCTGCTAAACAAGTCAATGAGCCACTGCAAACTAGAAAGATAACAACATGCTGGGGGCTTCATATCTGCTAGCCAAAAATTATTGCTTCAAATTTTTTGTAAAAATATCCCATACTACACATAACTGCAAATTAGCTTGACAGTTAAAACTGAATTCCAAGAGCTTATCACCTTGAAAAGAGCTGCATTGTCCCTCCCAATAATAGAAAAATCCCTTTTGTTTCTTTCCCTCCAAATATGACATACTGCTACAGCAAGGGAAAGCTTATAAATAGAGTTTCTGAAGTTCTTTGTCCTATGGATCTGGAAAGGAGTCCATAGGAGCTCCTCATTTCATTGAAGGCAACTTCTATTCACTACATTTATGCACAAAATATCAGGCCACATCAATGAAGAATACGGACAACCCTAGAACAGATGCTGCCGGCTCTTATCTTTTTCTTGATTTTGGTTGATTTCTTTGAACCGGTTGCTTAAAAAACTTGCACAATTTCACACATTGGCTTTGAAATCTAATGAAATGGATATTAAATGAACTTAAACTCTTTAATAGGAGAAAGAAAGAAAAAAAGTAAAAACCAATCCCAAAAGAGGAAAAAGAGAATAAGAAGAAAAATAAAGAAAGGAAGGAAAACTTGTATTGGATAATATAAAGCTTCAGTATACTACATTTGCCTAGAAGAAAACGCACACACACAACGACTAAAATATGCAGATAAAACAATTAATCAACATAATTCCAGAATGCTGAAAAACGAAGATAAAGCAGTTAATTAAGGTCTTCAAACTTCAACACTAAGAATGAATAGCAATACAAGGAAGTCAGTTCCTATAGCTGTTTGTTGTATCAACATCACATGTTGCTGTTCTGACAGCTTTCATGTGGTTTTTTCCACTTCTTTCATAAAAGTTGCACTTCATCTGCAGGCTCCAGTTTAAAGAGAGAACTACCCTTCTATCTAGAAATGGATACATTTCAAGGAACGAAAAGGAAATAAATAGTTTAGTGAAAGAGTGAAACAGAGAATCTCATTTCCAATTTACCGGAGAAAAATAATGAGATAAACAATGACACAAAACAAACCAAAACATATTCAAAGGGTCACCTATCTAAATATCTAAAGGGGGAGGGGGAAAAAGGAACTCAAACTATATTGTTGTGAAGATTCCAATCTATGGAATTGAGAAAGCAGTGATCTTAATTGCATGCACACCTCCCCATTATTGACTATGAAAGAAAAATTATACATGTCATGGAAGCACATGGAGGTAGAGTTGCTACAGTTTTTCTGTGATTCGCAGTTGGAAAAGGAACGTGACAAAGGTTTATCATGGAGTATGAAGTAATAAGGCATCATCTTCCACCTGGCCAGCTAACTGTTCCAAAACCGAGTATATTTCCTCTTTCAATGGGTGCAACCTATCTGATACAGTAAAAGCATGAAGCTTATTTTCCATTTCTACCCAACTAATAGCCCGTTCTTTCTTCACATGTCTCTTTTTCATAAGCTGTCTCACCTTCTCTACAGACTCCCACTTCCCAAGAGCCGCATAAATACTTGAAAGTAATACATAAGCTGCAGAGGATTGAGGCTCCAATTCAATAAGGTTTTCAGCTGCTTTTCTCCCTAACTCTAAGTTTCCATGAATCCTGCAAACACCAAGTAAGGCATTCCACACCAGACCATCAGGTTTGCAAGGCATCTTATCAAGCTGGTTCATCAATTCATCAAAACATCCAGCTCGACCCAAGAGATCAACTAAGCATGCATAATGTTCTTGGTCAGGAACAATGCCATGTTCTTTAGTCATTGACTGAAAATACGTAAGCCCCTCTTCTACAAGGCCAGAGTGGCTGCATGCATTGAGTATGACAACAAAGGTTATCCGGTCAGGCTTAACACCTGATCTCACCATGTCATTATACATCTGTATTGCCTCTTCACCACAACCATGCTGTGCTAAAGCTGATATCATCGTGTTCCATAACACATAATCTTGCTTATTACCCATAATGTCAAAGACCTGCCTTCCAACCCCCAAACATCCACACTTTGAATACATGTCGATAAGAGAGCTCACAACAATTGCATTAGGTTTGAAACCACTTCGAATCAAATAGGCATGAATTTGTTTGCCATGCTTAAGTGAAGCTATACTAGCACACGCACAGAGGCAACTGCTGAAAGTGAATTGATCTGGTCTGATTTGAAACAACATCATCTTTGTGAACAATTCAAGGGCGTTGTTTCCCATATTGTTTCGAGCATACCCAGCAATCAAAGAGGTCCATGAGACAGGGTTCTTCTCAGGCATCCTATCAAACAATTCACTAGCCAATTTCATATCACCCCACTTGGCATATCCCGAGACTAAGGTAGTCCAAGCAAGGACATCCCTGATGGTCATCTCATCAAACAATCTCCTGGCATCACTCATCTCCCCACATTTGGCATAAACATCAACCACAGAACTCGAAAGAACCACATTTGGCAAAAACCCAGCAGCCAAAACCTGACAATGAACCTGCCTGGAAAGTCCCAACTCCTTCAACTTCACACACACAGTCAAAACACCAGCAAAGCTAAACTCATTAAACCCAATTGACAATCTCCGGAAATCTCTGTAAAACCGTAAAGCCTCATCGCAATACCCGCTCTTCGCATACCCAATTACCATCGTATTCCACGAGACAACATCTTTCTCAGGCATTTGATCAAACAACCTCCTAGCAGGCTTTACCATCCCCAACTTCACATACCCAGAAAGCATATTGTTCCAAGAATACAAATTTCTCACAGACATTTTATCAAACACTTTACGTGCACCCACATGGTTGCCACATTTGCAATACAAATTGATCAAATGGTTCGATAAAAACGTATTGGGTTGCTTCAGACCCGTGAGTTTCAAATGGAGGTGAACCCATTTCCCTTCTTTCAAAGACTTAGTGTTCGCACACTCTTGCAAGAAAGAAGCAAGAGTGCGAGAGTCTAATCGAATGCCTTTACGAGCTAGGAGGCCTAGAGATTCGAGGGCTTGTTTGATGTGGCCTTTAGAGAAGAGTTCGAGAATGGGTTGGACAATGCAATGGCGTTTGGGTTTGGGTTTGGGTTTGGTTCGAAATGGTGGTCTAAAGATGCGAGATGAGGAAGAGAGAGAGGGCATTGCATAAGAACACCATGTGAGGGTGTAGGTGAAGAAGTTGGAGAAAGAGAGAGTAGGGGGGGGTCAGCTCCGGCGATGACGAATGACAATGACGACTCGCCGTTGGCAGGGTAGACCAAAGTTGTTACCATCTGATGAGAGAAGGTCCTCAAATGAGTAGTTGTAGCAGCCAATAAAAACTTGCCACGTCGGACAAATAATGGTACCCTCCCTTTTAAACCCAATCTTTTGAGGTTTATGTTTATTACAATTTTTTCTTTCACTTTTTAAAAATTACATCCACTTCTTGAGATTTAAAGTTTCATTACAGATTGCTCCCTCAATTAGTTGACTGTTAAGTCAGCTAACAAATTTTACTTATGTCCACAATTTAATTTTTTTAAATATCAATTTTGCCCTCATTGGGTAAATTACGTTGATACTCTTCACATTTTAGAAATTGTAATCCCCTCCCCACGGTTTAAAGTAGTATTACTAATTGCCCCCTCGGTTAATATTAGTTTAAAAAAAAAATTAGTTGAAAAAAAAATTTATTTGGAAAAAAAATTAATTGAAATTTTTTTTGTTAGTCAAATTTTTAAATTTCAGTTTAAAAGCCAACGTAAACTCATTTTTTGAATTTACGGTTTTTTCTCAAATTTATAAATTGAGAAAATCATTTATAAGTTAAAATTATCAAACAAGTTTTTATGACAGTTTTTAAAATTTTTGTAAATATAAATTAAAAACTGAAAACGAAATGGTTACCAAACAAGCCTCAGATGATAAAAATGTCATAAAATTAACAAATAATTAAATAAGTTACCAACGTAAGAAATGACTTATCAAAAGATTCTTAGGCTATGTATGGTTTGATTTTTAGAAAAAAAAAATTAAAAATTAATTTGGTTAAGAAATAAAAAATAAAAAATAATTATCATTTTTATATAATCTTTATCTTTCGAATGGTTAGAAATAATTTTTTACAAATTAAATATATTTCTTCATATTTGTTTTCATTAAATTAGTTTTTCTTTTTTTTTTTAAATGTTAGGAGGGATCCGTATTAAATTGAAATTTCAGGGGGTGTCAATGTAATTTATCCTTTAAAGTATATGTAAAAGTTAAGGGTAAATACGTCATTTTAACTTAAAAGTTAACATCGCCAAATAATTACACTGACAATAAGGGGTCAATGCAATTTTCCAAATGTTAAGGGAGAAACTATAATAAATATAAATCTCAGGAGGTGTTAGTGTAATTTATCCATCTTTTTTGATGTAATTTACACTCTGCTCCTTTTATATTTTTTTGATATAGTTACAACGATATTTATTTTAGTACGATAAAGAGATTGAAATTAGGGAGTTTTTTTTTTTTTTTTTTTTTTTATAAATCTCATTTTTAAGAGTTTTATTTTTTTTAATTCGTATCTTTTTTAACTATTTTATTAGGTCCTATTTAAGATACGAATACCAAAACATTCTAAATCTCTCTTACCCCCATTAATGTTGATATTTAATGTTAATTGTCATTATATCTTCACTTCAAAAAAATGCATTAACTACATGCCACTATTTAATGTTGATATATATTACACACAACAAATTAAACATGGTTCTTTATTGATGACGTGAATGTGAATGTTTACATCAAATGACGTAAATGTAAATGTTCACATCAGATGACGTTGTGATAAAGGTAATGTTAATGTTTACATCAACATTGCATCAAATTACACAACTACAAGCTTTAACTTGAAATGAATTTTTGTCATTGTGCTGTCAATTGCATGATGTGAATATTCATACTAAAACATACGAATATAAATGTTTACATCACTACATATTGTGAATACTAATGTGTTGTCAATTGAAAATATAATGAACGTTAGTTTTAATGTGTTGTTAATTAAAAATAAGAAAGCTCACATGTTGTGAACGTTTACATCAATGCATTAGATGAGAGAGGATCAGAAAGGTGTTGTGAACGTTTACATCAGATGAAAGATAATGTTCACGTTATTTTTAATGTGTTGTCAATTAAAAACATATTCACATTGGATGAGAGAGAATGTTCACATTATTTTTAATGCATTGTCAATTCAAAATATATTAATATAAAATAATAACATCAATGTTAGTTAATTTGTGTATAAAATTTCATATGCCTTGGTCTTTTCCCTTCTTTTCTCCTAATGTGTTGTCAATTAAAAATAAGAAGGTTCACATGTTGTGAACGTTCATATCACTACATTCGATGAGAGAGAATTTTTCAGAAAGGTGTTATGAACGTTTATATCAAATGAGAGATAATGCTCACATTATTTTTAATGTGTTGTCAATTAAAAATATATTCATATCAGATGAGAGATAATGTTCACAATATTTTTAATGTGTTGTCAATTCAAAATATATTCACATTATATAATAATATAAAATAACAATATCAATATTATTTAATTTGTGTTTGAAATTTCCTATGCCTTGATCCTTTTCCTTTTCTCTCCTCTCCCAACATTAAATATCAACATTAAATATCAATATTAAATATAAGGACACAAAAGTCTAACAAAATAGTGTAAATCAAGAAAAATGACTTTATAGAATAAAACTATAAATATATAGGATTAAGTGGGTTAAAAAATTCATTCACGGACTTTTGGATTAAAACACTTCTAAATGAGATTTATCAATAAAAATTCCTCGAAAGTAATGTCAATTATTTGTAAATATAGAAATAAATAAATATCAATGTATATTTTAATAGAAAAATATACGATAGCATCATTTTTATTTAGACAACTAACTAATTATTGATAAAAAAATTTAAGCATTATGTGAATTAAAATTTTAAACGAGATAAGTGTAATTATATAAAATATGTAAGATTAATTATATTTTTTATAAATTGCAGGAGGAGTGTAATTTATTTATTTATTTATTTTGGGTAACACTCACAACTCAATTTATTTGGGTTATTTTTTAAAATAAAAAAAAATTAATTAATGGTCTTTGGTTATAATTTTAAATATAATTTTTTTTAACTCAAAAGAAATTATGTTAAACAAAAAAATTATAAACTTATTTGAAATTCTTAAATATGTATAACAAAAGAATTTCATCTTTTTTATCATAGTTATAGTTTTGGAAGGTATGGTCTATATTTGCACAATAAAAAATTTGTGTGACAATTTATTTAATCAAAAAATATTCAATATTCTTTTTACAAATTATCAAAAATTACACCAAACATGTTTAGAATTTATTTTATTTTTTAAAAATTAATAATTTAAAAAGTTATAATCATAAAATTAACTTATAACAAACGAGACATTTAGGATAAATTACAATGACACCTCTAGAAAATTGCTTAAACTAACATTCTTCTTTGACAACTGGAAAATTTATTTGCACTCTTTGATGTTCTAAATTGCATTGCAATTTTCTCTTCATTAATCCCTATTAGATCAACAAACGGGTTTTAATAACATTATTAGCATTAAAATTTATAAAAATATCAAATTTATTTGTAATTATCGAAATCCAAACCCTAATCCACATAAACCAAGTCGTATTGAGAAAAAAGTAATTGTGAGAGGGAGTGAGTTGATAATAAGGAAGGTAGGGTGTGTGGCCATCTAATTCTGATTTCAATATTACATGCTTTCTCTTTTCTCCTTTCCTCTATTCTCATCTCTTTCTCTCTATCACCATTGACTCTAATTGGGTTGGGTTCATGGGTAGGTTCGGGTTTCAAATATTTGTCCAAAGTCTTAAATCATCTTCTATATGATAGGACGGGCTGAGTATCCAAGCGGACTAGAACGGGTTGGGTAATACTGAATTTTTTGTCCACGGGCTATTTGATGACCCCTATGCCAAAGCAGTGTTTTTTTTCTTTTTCTTTTTCTTTTTTTCATTTTTTAGTGAGAAAATGAGAAGGCAAAATTTGTATTGTGTTACTTGTGCATATAATATTATTGTAAATATAACTTAACAACACAAATTTTAATATCATCAAACAATTAATAAGTTATATATATGTTATTTGGGTTAGGAATTGCTCGGATCAAACTCCTAAGTAGTTCAAAAAAAAACCTTAACTCCTCAATTTAATTGGGAAAATTAGAATTCGAGGTATCTTTTGAAAAATTTCAAATAAATAATAAAATCTTCCATCTATGTATAAATATTTTGTCATAGTACCATTGGCGTGTAATTTATTTTTTCGTTTTAAATTAGACTTTCAAATTTCGACCCAATTACACACAAAATTTAAAAATATATTGTCAAAAACTCTATAAAAAAAAAAGGATTAATTTGTAAAGTTCACTATCAACTTTTGGGCTCTCTGTTATGAATTGGCGTAAAGATCTTGCAATGAGAGGAAATATGTAGTCCCAGATTCCAATTGGAGGGTTTTCAAATTTAATTGTTCATGCCAAATTTGAACAGTAGGAGTTCAGCGCAAGTCTCAAATCTTCAATTAGCTTTGATTGGCTTCCTTCCTCTACTTAGCTATTGTCATGACCCAAACTCGCCGCTATGGGTTTAGCACTATAACCAGCCAGTAATCCTAGGATTACCGAAGGCCTCTGGACAGAATAAATAAAATACAGGGGCTAGCAGAAGCAAATACAAATATATAACGTTCATAGAGCTGTGCAGTCATACATGGAATAGAAAATTTAAAGTTTAATTTACATATTAAAGATGTCATTCCCATGTCACCATATAGGCAAACAAACAAACAAAAAATATGCTTAGACTTAACAAAAGAAATACAAAAAGGTCTTTAACATTGTTCACAAAACTTGACCACTTCTAAAAAGGGAATCTCCTCGGGAGGCACAGTGGCTAGTAGACAGACAGAACTCCAGGCAATCAACTCTGAGCTTGGTCGCGTGCCTGATTACCTACATACATAAATAATACGATGAACTGGAGCTCAGTGAATAATAACAGAGTAAAGGTTTTAATGAATGAGGTCTATAAGAAACTAAAAAATCAAAATTCAGATTCGAAATAGATTCATAAACATATTCATATTCATGTTCATTTTCAGTGTTTACATATCCCATATGATTATACGTGGTACATCTATTAGCGTTAACAAATTCGATGACCCATAAAAGGACAGCCATAAAGGCATTCTGATG